TCCTGCCTTTGAAATATACATCTGGTACCCACTGGAAGTCTCCCATCCAAGTACTAATCAGGGCTGGCGCTACTTAGCTTTCAAGATCTGGTTCCTTTAAAGAATTAAGGCCCTATTCTAGATGAATAATTCTCTTTAAAAAATAAGCAGGGCTGTTTGCAAACTCTGCCTTAGTAGTATTACAACTGACCAGTTGAAAATCAAAGCTTCATAATATAATGGTATTTTTGACGGAGCAGTAGTTTACCATGTTGATTGTTCTACAGATCTTGGCCTTAAAACTGTCAAAGGTCAAAAACAATTCTTTAACCTTCTATTACTGACATTAAATCCCTAATGAAATCATCGTTCCATTTAGAGGGAGAATGATCTGTCCTAATTCCAAATTCCCACAAGCTTCAACTCACCCATCTGGTTATTAAATCCAGCAATTGAACCAACAATCACAAGACTATGTTACTATGGGGAAGAAAAACATTTCTTTGGTTAGAGAGGATATGTTTAATTCTAACCAAACAAGACAACTTCTAGCCACATGAATCTGCTTAGGCCTTTAATAGTAGTATTGTGGGAAGATCTAAATAAGTTCCCACAGAAAACAGATATCAAGAGTTAGTTTTATCCTTAAAATTACTACATGCGCAGGCAAAATAAAAAGAAATGTTTACATCAAAGGACAAACAATGAATGGAAATATTTCAGAAGTTTGTCATTGTCACAGACACAAAGACGTGGGAAAGTACCTATAACAAACCTGCAGGAATTTTCTAGTAATACTCCATAAAATAGGTTCACCACTGTGGGATACAGGAAAAGGGAGGTGGGGGAGAGAGAACTGTGCTAATCTGAAGCAGATGCTTTATCAAAATTAATACATAAAATATTTACTTAACTCAAAGAAAATGCATGATAACGTTCTTATACACAAATTATTTTTACAGTGTAAGCAAACAGTGTGAAGTTATTGTGGCAGGGTACTAAAAAGTATGATTGGGTTGTTGTAGGTTTTTTCGGGCTGTATGGCCATGGTCTAGAGGCATTCTCTTCTGACGTTTCGCCTGCATCTATGGCAAGCATCCTCAGAGGTGGTCCCTATGCATTTGGTGGTCCCTATGTAGACTTGTCCACAGCTGCATGGTATACGGTAGACTCCTGCAGAAGTGAGAGGATCCCTCTTGTCCTTTGCTGAACGTAGCATTTGTTGGATTTTCTTGGTGGGTCTGTAGATAGTTTGTATGTTGTGTTTCCTCATCAGCCTCCCCACGCAGCCAGCGGTTCCCTTGATGTACGGCAAGAACACCTCTCCACTGGATGGATTCCCATCCCCATTCCCGTGGCTTGTTCCCGGTCCTGCAGCTCCTCCGATGTCCGAGGTGGAGCATCCACCGGCCTGTAGAGCCCAGCTGAGGTGGCCAGCGCCCAAACGCGAATCAAGGAACATGAAAGGCACTGCACACTACTTCAACCAGAGAAATCAGTCATAGCAGAGCACCTGATGAACCAACCTGGACACAGCATATTATTTGAGAACACAGAAATGCTGGACCACTCTCACAACCACCATGTCAGACTACACAGAGAAGCCATTGAAATACACAAGCATGTGGACAATTTCAACAGAAAGGAGGAAACCATGAAAATGAACAAAATCTGGCTACCAGTATTAAAAAACTCTAAAATTGCAACAGCACAACAACAGAGAGGAAGCAGGCAGGGACATCTAATCACCTCTCAACAAAAGTTTGCTCCAGGCACAGTCAGCCCATTGTATGCTAATCAAGGTGGTCAGTTGAAACATTCACCGCTAGCTCCAGCAGATAAGAGTCCTTTGTCTCACCCTGGTCATTCCACAGATATATAAACCCTTTTTCCTAGTTCCAACAGACCTCACTACCTCTGAGGATGCTTGCCATAGATGCAAGCGAAACGTCAGGAGAGAATGCCTCTAGACCATGGCCATATAGCATGAAAAAACCTACAACAACCCAGTGATTCCGACCATGAAAGCCTTCAAGAATACAAAAAGTATGATTCTTTGGGGAAAAAAAATACTGATGACTATGTGCTTGGAACTCTGATCTAGGGAGTGTGTACAAGAATTCTGTACATATTCTTTGGATATAGCAACTCCACGACAGAATATTTAAACTAAAAGAAAGGTACTCAAAATCGCAAAAATGGTTTTTCCAGTTCCTTTCTTTGAAACATAGCCGCCAATATTTGGTATTCTTGGCAGTCTCCCATCTAAGTAGGTACTAACTGGGGCTGACCCTCCAAGATCAGACAGAATCTGGTGTCTTCGTGGTATTTATGCTAGGCCCTAGGGAAAGAGATACATAGCTATTTTAGGAACAGAGGAAACTACTGGCTTGTTCACATAAGTAATTTCCTGATTCAAGCTAGGAATTTTAAAATATATCTAGACATGGAAATGAAAGCTGCTCATATTCTGTAGATTTGTTCTTGAGCTGAATTTGAATGAAAGTCGGAACAGATACATTATTTAAGTGTAAAAAAGGGAACAGTTTTCCCTTGACATTAAGTCTAGTTGAGTCCTATTCTTGGGGGGAAGGGGTCATCTCCATTTCTAAGCCGAAGAGCCCACATTGTCCATAGATGTCTCCAAGGTCATGTGGACAGCATGACTGCATGGAGTGCTGTTACCTTCCCACCGGAGCAATGTCTATTGATCAACTCACACTTGCAAACTGCTAGGTTGGGGCTCCTTACAGGGAGTGGTCAACCCTCCTGTTCAAGGAACTCCACTGGCTGCCATTCATCTACCGGACCCAATTCAAGGTGCAGGTTCTTACCTACAAAGCCCTGAACGGTTTGGGACCCGCCTATCTTCGTGACCACATCTCTGTATACGAATCCACACAATCCCTTCGATCATCCAGAGAGGCCTTACTGTCGATCCCATCAGCATCGCAGGCGTGATTGGTGGTGGGGACGAGAGAGGGCCTTTTCGGTGGTGGCCCCTCGACTCTGGAACTCACTCCCTAAAGATATCAGACAGGCCCCAACTTTGGCAGTCTTTAGGAGGAGCTTGAAGAAGTGGTTGTTCCAGTGTGCCTTCCCGGAATAATGATCCCATAGCACTTTGTCCTCCAAAGCACTCTGCTCGTATGCCCTTCCACAAACACCACTATCACCTTCTCGTCCATGTCCCAGCATTATTTCCTATTTTAACTCTACATTTGGCCTTCCCGTTGTTTTTGTGTGTTGTCTTATTGATAATGTTGTATATTTTATTGTCTATGTTTTTATTTTAATTGCTTGTATTGTTG